CGTGCGATGCACGGGGTGCACAATTTTAAGGTCATTTATCCAGCCTTATAATTATATAAATGATTAAAGAAAAAATGTACGGGATATATATAGTACTTGACCTTTGCGAAGCACGAGATATATTTATTTGGGATTATTATACTATAAGATGTAATATTCAATAAAAATTTTACAATACGCATAAATAAATAATGTGTTAAAATATACGTTTCAAAATTCGAAATTAAAACAAAAATTCAAATGATTTGGCTTACATTTTTATCATACAGAACCAACTCGAGATATGATTTGTATGTGATACCCTAGTCTTGGAAAAAATATTTTCACAATTCAAACTTTGAGCATAAGTCTATTAGACTTATTGACTTGTTTGATTAACCCAAATCCTTGATTCATTGTTTTGAATAAAAGACTGATTAGAGATATTTTTTGTTCGCAAGAGGTTGACAGTGAGGAAGATTATGTTTCGATATTTTGAGATTTGTAATTTATAATGGGTAAAGTAGATATATATTGTTGTTAATATTTTTAGTAAAGCTTTTGTTATTTTAGTAAAGATTTTACGTACGTTTTTTTTACTTATCGGATGTTATAGGGTTTTTTTTTTTAACAGATTTTATGGGATACAATACAAATACAATTAGAGGATTTGACAAAATTAGAATAAATTTCCATACAATTAGATAATAGAAGGAATTAGATAAGAAAAAGAAGAAATTAGATAAAGAATTTTGAATCTGTATTTTTTTTTAGTATAAAACTATAAATAGACTTTACGTACAAATTTTGACTTCACCGATTTTATGAGATTTGTTTTGACAAAATCGATGTTAATGTTGAATAAGACAGATAAATAAAACCTTTTTTATTTTAGTAAATATTTTACGTCCTTTTTTGACTTATCAGATGTTATGAGATTTTTTTTTTCTTGAACTGATTTTATGGGATATAAGACAAATAAATAAAATAATTAAATAAAATTTTAGATAGAAATAGCAATGCATTAATTACGTTGACTTTTCAACCTACTAAATTTGGTAAATATGATACGTTATTATATAAGTATAGACACCTAATTCGTCGACTCTCCTATTGTATTAATTTCTTTGGTCTTTTCCAAATCCCCAAATATGAACCTCGAAATAGCATATTATCGTTTCGTAATCTTGTTGGCGAAATCGACCGTTAACAAGTAGTATGCAAGCAATACATGAATATAATGAATTTTATTTAATTTTCAATTTATATAACGCTCATTCTGCTTTGATTAGACATATATATGATTGAGCAGTATGACGATTTAATAAATATTTATGGTAAGTTTTGGTATATTTTACCAAAAACTGTGAAGTTAATTGATACTAGTTGATAAACTAGTTTTAAGTTTAAACAATTTATCAACTAGTTAATATCACTATTCTAAAAATCGGCCTAGGCGGCCCTAGACGCTCCTAGGCGGACTTGGCAATTTATCCAATCAAATATAATAAGTCTAATCGAGTTAGGTCGAGCAATTAACGAAGATCACACGATACACATAAAAAATACGATAAATCGTATAAATCGAATGGGGCACTACAATTTTGTTTTTAAAGGTTACTGATGATATTTTATATCGCTATCACGATTACTATTATTATTAATGTTGTCTTTATATTTTGTTTTTTAATCTCTATATATATATATATATATATATAAATATTAGTTGATGCATTTAATAAAACATTTAATAAAACTTATTTTCATTTTTCCTCCAAAAAGACTTATATTTTTTAATTAATTACTAACTAATCTGCTATAACTGTTACACCTTAATATTTATATTTTTATAATTTATTTTTTGGATCAATTACTAAATTAACTCTAAATTTGGTAGCAAAATATTCAAATGTGTAATGGCTAATGTGGGAACTTAAAGTTGAGTGACACATTCAGAGCTGTAACCTCTATATTTAGTTGCATTGTTGGAAGAAACATAGGATTGACACATATTTTTATTTATTTTTTCTAAAAATCACAAACACAAAGAATTTTCTTTATTTATGTTAATTTTTTTAATATATTTCGAAAGGCAAAGATGCTTTCTCTGGCAGAAAATTCGCCCTTCAGGTAATTCTCAAGGGCATATTCTCTTATTCAAGCAATGTTTAGGCCTAGTTAATTTTTTGTTGATTTAGAGTCCAAATCTAATTAAGGTTAGTTTACTCTAAATGCTTGAAAATGTCTGAGAGTTAGATTATTGAATTGTGGATTTGGAGTCCAAATCTAACTATCTAGTGCTTGCTATTTATTTTTCCTTCGAAATGCGAGTTGAGAAAAAAGAAGATGAAATGAATTTAAGTGACTGAAATGATGGCCTCTTAATTAATTTGATGTTCAGTTCAAATATTGGTATGATCTATTTGTATTTGCAGAAACATTGGCAGAAGGAGCAGCAAACAAACCCCCAATAATGGTGGTATTATTATTAACATGATTGTTGATAAGATAAAGGATGAGTGTTGTTAACACATTAATCTGTTGTTGGAAGTATTATTATCATGATTGATAAGGTTACCGTGACGTAGCAATTTCGTGTTTCATTTGATCTTGGAGGTCCAAACAATATAGTTGGTTCTTTATGATTTTTCTTTTTCCACATTTCTTATATGTCATGAGCATGTGATTTAGCTTTGTTTAATGCCATCTCATTTTACTTGTAGAATTAGTTTAGCAACAAGCTGACGCATTATACTCTCCAGTAGCTTGGACAGACTGCAATAAGTTTCTATTTAGGAAGGAAATACAATGTGTTAGTAGATTTATTACTTTGTTTCCAGCATCTTGGTGATTTATTTTTTATTCAAGCTCTATATTTTTTGTGTCATATTACAATATGCTTTTATGAACTTGGCATAATGTCACATATAATCAATTTTTTATATCATGCAAGGACATTCAAGATAATTGCTCGAGTTATTGTGAAGTTGTTCCAAGAATAATTATGTGGAAGAGGAAGCGTTGGGAGTTATGTTGATATGTTTATTGATGTAGATGAGCATGCTCGATCTTTACGTGGAAGAGGAAGCGGTGGGAGTTTGATGTAGATGAGCATGCTCGATCTTTATGTGCAAGAGGAAGCGGTGGGAGTTTGATGCAGATGAGCATGCTCGATCTTTATGTAAAAAAATCCAAAACATACTACCATATTTTGTTTCATTTTGGGTACTTATGTACTTTGAACATAGGATTCAATTCAATAATAATGCATTTAGTTCTACAGTACTATGTAATAATTTGATCAAATCTGAATCAACATTTAGGGTAATTGTGTAGTTTTTATGTTGATTTGAGTTATAATTGTTGAACGTCAATTTCAGTCCATGCTTTGATTCAGTTTGATTTCAAAGGTATATTGAGCTTTAAATTTCAAGGTAGGATACATGGCTCCACATTTTGAGCAAAAACGATATTGTTATTATTTTATTGCTCTAGTGGTATATGCTTTTAAACAAATTCTTATGAATACCAATATCAATGGCAACCAAAAATTTGGAACAACTCTGTTGCGAACTTGCGATTAGTCTAATCAATAGGCACACCAATATTGGCACCATTTTGTTGTTTGTATAAATCAATCAGCACGATAGTAATGGTGAACGAGTCGATTTTGTTATTTGTATAAATCCAACATCCAATTTGGTTCTTCTTTCCTCGAGGAGATTAACCTGATAGTTTCTCGGACAGACCCTTTGGAATGGTGAACGAGTCGATTTCCCGAGTGAAGCCCCATTTGTAGTCCCTTTTTAAGATTTTCTGGAGTGGGTCGTCGTCCTCGTCGGGCGATGAAATGGACGATTTCTTACCTGGCAATTCGACGACCGTCTATGAATTGTACCCAACCCCTAATTTCAGAGAGGTTCTTGAATTAGGGTTTCTGTAGAACGACGATTTGGTGGGTAGGGTGGAAAAATAAAGAACTTTCACTCGAAAACAAGTTGGGAGTAGAAAGGCATTACGCCGTTGGTGATAGAGAAGCCATCGCAGTGAGAAATTTGATACAGTATCAAGATGAAGGCTATGTTTGGTAAAACTAGCTGATAAGCTAGCTGATAGCTGATAAGCTAGCTTATAGCTTATATGTAATTTTTGAGCTTATAGCTTATAGCTTATGACTTATAGCTGAAAAGCTAGCTTATATTATAAAAGTGTTTGGTAAATTAGCTGATAAGCTAGCTGAAATATAAACATTCAACTAGCTTATTTGAAAAGCTACCTAAAGTAGCTTATGGGATAAGCTCGAGCTTTTTAAAAAAGTTCGTCCTACCAAACGAAACTTATTTTAATATAGGGAGCTTATAAGCTAACCAAATAAGCTATAAGCTAGCTTATTTGGCTTACCAAACATACCCGAAGATGGAAGCATCATAGCTGGGCTGTAGATTGATTCTTTTTTTTTTTTTTTTGAAGTGAGAACAACAAATTTGTTCTTAATTCGTGAAGTATAAGATATGTAAATTTTAAGATGGTAATGATATATTTTTGTATTTATAGGACTGATATATAAATAAAATAAATATATGAACTTACAATTAAATACAAAAGTTATTTTATAATGAATTAATTTAATTTTTAATTATAAATAATAGTAAGGGTAAAATTGATTTTTAACTTGTACAAGAGTAGTAGAGTACAATATCATGTATAAAGTAAAAATCTTTCTTTTTTCATTGTATATGAAATCATTAAATCTTGACTCAATCTAATCTAATAGTAATAAAGTGAAATATTTGATGTCAGGTATGTACAACACTACTTGACCCTAGAATGTCCAAATAAAGTTTGACCGATTAAAAGAATGAATTCAACATAAAAAAACTCTTTCAAGATTTGATATGATTGTTGATCGATCAAATTTGAGCCGGTATATTATCTTGAAGAACCCTAGTCTCACTCGCCTAGGCCTCTTTTCCATTTTAGTTCCCCTCAGCTACATTCCCGCAGGTTTCCCCTCGATATAAATGGCATCGGGATCAGCCCGAAAGTTACCGGCGCGCCTTCTATACTCCCCCTGCACCAGATACGTCGGCCCCGCGCCGCCACGGGCATCCGCTGCCGCCCTGCTCGCCTGCAATTTTCATATCCTCTCTTTCTCCGCCGGAAGCGGTGGCGCCGCGCGGCTGAGGAAGGCGAAGGAGGAATTGTGGAAGGAGTACCTGTATTATTTTGTTTACCTTTTAAATATATGTGTGTATTTTTGTTTGTGTCATTCATTATTAAGCTCGTTTTGTTTACAATATGCAGGAGGAAAGGCATGATTGTCGGGAACGACCGGGAAGGAGATGATTGCGTGATTACTGCACATGTGAGTATAAACCTTTACAATACTCTTGGTAGCCCTGATTTTGTCTATTTCCTCTCGGATTCTCATAACATTACATTCGAACACCAAATTTTCGAATCGGTAGGATTTTTTATGGATCCTAGTATTTGTTGGGCTATATGTTTGTCACCAAATCATTCGGTTATCTGTTCAGGCACCTCTAAACATTACGGTTTGATTGAGGGAGTTAAAATCCATTAAAATCTGAATTTGAAATCCTTCAACTTCTATCATTATTCCAACATGAGGATTCTAACTTGTAAGTTTGAAATCTATATATATCAAATTCCTCAATCCAAACGTAGGGTTTTAAAACTTGCCAATAAACCATAATTCGTGTAGGACGAGGAGATGTCCGATAGCATTGGATTTGAAGATAAGAGAAAAGTGAGCCCACAGGCTCCAGATAAGGAAAATGCCAAGAGACCGGCCATTACAGGGCTGCTCGATGCCTCCCTCGCCTCTAGATTTCTTTCGGTACGCCAATCTCTTTTCTTTTCTCTCTCTCTCTCTCTCTTTTATTTTAAATATTTTAGTTTTATGTGTTACGTAATTGGAAATAGATGATAATCACCTTCAAGAGGTTTAATTTGTTGTAATTGATTTAGTTTTTTTTTGTTCTTCTACACACTATTGCCTCTGTTCCGGTATAATATTCCAATGCACTGTGGTGATGATTTTAGTTTTCATCTCTGTTTATAGCGACACACTAGACTGGACTTCCATTAATAACTGGCTTTAATTTGTGTAGGATCCAATCATCACCGATAAGTGTGATATACTGGCCAAAGACGAGTTTGTTGTTCAAATGGCACAGCAACTTCTGGAGGCACTCCAAGCTTCTACAGTTCTCGAGGATGGGACATTTAATGACTCTGCATTCGAGCATTTTGCTCTGGTGATGAGAATATGGAGAAATGATGTGTTTAATACCCTGATTGGAGAAATGATTTACGAGGTCTATTCTCTAGTTTTTGTTTTTAACTCTCAGTCAATATCACTAGAATACTTGGGCTGTGCACAATATTCAATTCTTGAAACAGACAATTTTTTGCATTCTTACAGGATTGCGTTTCCGATATCATAGACAAACTTTCAAATGAAGTGGAAAATGAACAAATTGGAGAACGTATGTGCCGTATCAAGGCAGATCACAACTTGAGTGATATTCTCCAACTCAAAAAGCCGCCTGCTACAATGATAAGGTCGTCTAATTATGCATTGTTATGTGGTTGTGTGAGATACTCTTAAGTGTGTTTTCTCAGTCCATTTTAACATTTCCAAGCATCTTTGAATTTGTACGAATGTGCATTGCTTTTTCTGAGGGATTCCTAATATTCGTTAATTTCAGTGTTTTGCTATACATCTACGTTTGCCTTGAATGACTATAGTTTCTCTCTTGTGAAGGGGACTTTTGATCATTGTACTTGGGTATTGGAGTTATAATAAGCTGCCTTTGATGTTTGATGAAAAATTAATGTGTTTTGATGGAGACTGTGGATATGAAGGGCATAAAGTTGCAGAAGATGGATATGAGATTATCGAAAGAGAAATTGTGAGTGACATGGAGATTGGTTTGGCATCAGAGGTAGTCTTGCACTTGTGGTTTTTGCTTTTTTTATTTTTTTTTTTTAAATTATATATAGTTAAATACATCGTGTGTGCCGAGTTCAGATTTACCTTCATTTAATATTTTTTGTTAATTCATTTTTTTATGTATTCATTACTTATTTATTTTTTTTCTTATTTCTTTTTAAATGAAATTCCAGGAACACAGTACACGGTTAATAAAGACTCCCATTCAGAGCCTTGATGATGTATATACCTATTGCTTTACCCTAATTTTTGTTTCGTGTTGAATGGTTGCAGGTTATTTTCCGTATCATCAAATAAAATATTATTCACGTTGTACCCATATGCATTAAATGAACTTGGTTATATAATCTTTTTCATTGATTTGTAACTTTTACTAAAACTACAATTAGTGTCTAAATTTCTTGCGATACAAGCACCCCCGAAAAAAAATCACCAACATGCTCTTAATCACCTATTATCATTATCACGTAGTGATATTTCTAGAGTTTGTAGATACAAACTCGTAT